TCGTCGTCGTCGTCGTCGACGACGAACAACGAGACAGAGAGAGAGAGAGAGAGAGAGAGAGAGAGAGCTGGCAAGCTCTCCCCTTCCTCCTCCTCCCCCTCTTCCCCTCCCCCCTCCCCCCTCCCCCCCTCCGTAAAGAAAAATGTACACCACCAGCACGTTACGCGCATCGTCCTCCTCGCGCAGCGTCCACGAAGGCCGGGGGGAGGGGGAGGAGGGAGGGTGAGGGGAAGGGGGAGGGAGTCCCCTCCCCCCCTCCCCTATTTTATGTACACACTCGCAAGGGAAGCAAGCCACGGGCACGCAAGGTGACGTGGGCCCCGAGCGAAAAACACAACGAGGTCGGCGAGGGCGATCCCCGGGCAAGAATTGCACTTCGTTCGTATCTCGAGTCTTGTGGGCCCGGTCCCCGGGCGTGGCGACGGATCGCCGCCGTGGCCGCCGCCGCCGCCGACGACGACGACGACGACGGCGACGACGACGACCCTCCTCTTCTCCCCCGCTACGACGGCTCGGAGGTCGAGTCCGGCTCCCTCTCGTCGCCTGACAGCCGGTGCTCGGTGGTCTCGGCGCAGGGCCCGAGGATCACCTGCTCGCCCGCCGCCGCCGGGTCGTCACCGTTCGTGCTGGTCACGGGCTCGTTCTCCTGTCACGGACTCCCTCCCCCAGCGTCCGCGTCCCCCCTGTGCCCGCCGGGCGTCAGGCTCGGGCTGCGCCTCCTCTTCTCCTGCAACCCGTTCACCATGTTCTCGATCGACTTCAACTCGCCCGCGGAGCCGGTCGCCCCCCCGGGCGCGAGGCCCGCCGGCGTGGGCGTCGGCGAGCCGGTCGGGGGCCTGGGCGGCGGCGACCTCGGGCTGAGGGTCCTGCTGCCGGGCGTCACCGTCTCGAACGCCGAGCCGTGGGACGGGGCCGGGAGGGTGTACGGGGCGAAACGGTGGCCCTTGAGCTGGTGGAGGGGGCTGGCCAGGGGGTGCGGGTAGTGGGCGAAGAGGGCCGGGTGCTGGGACGCGGCGAGGGCGAGCTGCGCGTTGAACAGCATGCCCGGCGTCACCCCGGCGTGCATCCCCAGGGGGCTGGGGGGTATGAGGGGGCCCGGGCCCGGGTACAGGCCCGGCACGGGGGGGTAGAGGTAGGGGAGAAGGGGCGGGTGGAGCGGCGGGCCGACCGAGACGTCCGGCCTGGGCCCCTCCGAGCCCGCCGGCCCCGGCCCGCCTCCCCCGCTCTCCGACCCCGACGACTCGCTCCCCTCGCCCCTCTCGCTCGTCCGGTCCTCCCTGTCGCGGCTGTGCTCGCGCTCCCGTTGATGGTGCGCCGGGTGCGGCGTGTCCGGGCCCACCACGTCCAGCAGCTTGTCCTCGTCGTCCAGCAGGTCGTTGACGGAGTTGGACGAGCGCCGCTTCTCGGGGGATGCCGGCCCACCTGTCGTCAGACGGGAACCGCCGCCTGACACCGTCAACAGCGCCTGCCTTCTGCAACAACGACGCGGAGTTAGCAATCTTTCTACCACGCTTTTCCTCGCTATTTGCGGCTACGGCTCGACGGCTTCTTTGAAAATCGAGGCGAGTTGGAAGAAGAATTGGGAGGTGTTTTTGAAAGTAGGCATTTTTAAATGTCGATTGGGGAAAATTGTGTGATAAGTAAGCTTCGATACACCATTTATATTACCATTTTTACGTACGAACTTTTGCGTTCGTTTCGAGGATTGTTTTTTTTTTTTGAAAGCGTCCTACGAATATACGGGTATCGTTATTTTCAATATTGAGAAATTTCAAGTTGGATCATCTGGAACAACTCGATTGAAAAATTTGCACCTATCGTTATTTTCAACGAGGCGACGGGATGATCGAAATTAATAGTCGAGTTTTTAAAAATATTGGTATTTCACCGAATCGATACAACTCGAAAACGCAGAGCGTTCGACGTTTCACGATTTTATGAAAGGGTTCCTAACTTTTTCATTAATTAAAGTATACGTTATCGTCCAACAAAAGTTTGATAAAAAGTCAAACGAAACGTCGAAAAATTTCGAGCCGATAAATAATATCGGAAGAAATGTATGGTCGAGAAACCAGTGACATCTTAAAATTTTACGTATACTTTCGACTTATTAACCTTCCTGTATTTAAAAACAAAAACCAAAGAAGCATTTTGGAAATTCAACTCTACGAATCGATAGATATGTAACGATAGATAATAAATAACGCAATGGAAAAATGATTCAACGAAACCAAACACTTTCTTCTATCGAGTGTACACGTGCATGTACAAAAAAATATTCGTCTCCAATTCCAATTCATTTCAACATTGCATCGATTACGAAAATTATTATTTTTCTCTCGTCGAAATCGAAGAATCTACGAAACCGAACATCCTTCTCGCTTCTTCTCGTCATCCTTAAAAATCACAAATATCGCAATCGAGTAGAAAAGTTTAGAAAAACGTGGAAAAATTACGGGAGGGAAAAGAAGAAAAAAAATTAATCACCGAATCCAACTTGTAATTCCAGCTTTGCCACTTAAAATAACTACAACTACAATGATAAAGCCCTCACGAACGATCAGGATGCAAATCAGCGTATTTCAACGAATAATCTAAGCAAAGGTAAGTATCGTGTAAATCTGGACTACAGCCGCTCGAAAGCCGGATGTAACGAGGAGCTTACCGATACCTTAATACCGTATAATGCGATCAATGCACTGACACAAGCGTGGCAAAACGACGACCAGGCGAAACAGAGGCCTCGCGTTCGCATGCAACGACGGGTGGAAGAAGGAGCAACGATTCACGATGACGTATATATACACATTGTCGGTGTACGGATGAACCCATGAGCTTGGAAAGGGTGTTACTTACGCTCTACGGTTCTCCGGTTTCCGACATGCTCTTAAATACGTTAAAATCAATAATTTACGTGGACGATATGGGATTCTTTCCCCTTTTCCCAACTTACTGGATGGAGATAGGTCGGGCCAATTTTCGAAATTTTGCATTTCAATCATTTGAGAGGTTTGACCGATCGATTTATATTACGTAGAGGAAAATAAAATCCAAGATCAGACCAACTCTGTTCTTCTCGTTCCGTTTCGTATATAAAATTCGTACGCATGTAATCCCACATTTTCCTTTTCCACGCTGCAATTATTTGATCTTCGATTTTTGTCCAATAATAAATACAAGATTTTCACTTGGAATGGAATTTTTCAACGCGAGTAGTTTGAAAAAGAAAAAAGAAAAATTCTAAACGGGATTCGAATAATAATCCCATCGTCCCCCTCTTTCTATCTACGCGATGTTCAACGCGATCCTCCTCCTCCTCCTCCTTCCCCCCCTCCTCCTCTCCCCCCTCGTTACGGAAATTTTCATCAAATCCAACGTAAAGTTTAAATTTTTACCCTATCGAAATTTTTAAATTAAAAATCCGGTGCTCTCCGATTATTATTTTTTTTTTCCTTCTTTTTTTTTTTTTTTTTTTCCCTTTCTCGTTTCATCTCGTTCAAACATCTCGATCACGGAACGAGATACCCGATGCAAACGCAAATCGCATGATTATCCGTGAAACGTATCTCGTCGGCGGCCGATCCCGCTATTTGCGCTTACACGCGAGCAGGATGAGGCGGGTAATTGGATTCACTAGGTGTGCTTCTGTCGCGTACGCGACCGTTCCAGTTTTCGAACTGGTTCACGCCACTTGCTCGCGATTTCAACATCCTTATCATTCTAAACGCCCTCCATTATCTCTACAACCGTAATCTCGGCGTGCAGCGTCGTAAAAGAAACAACGATTTAATCCGGGTTTTATCCTACGAAACGACGCGTGCAATATCGACGACGTGAGCATTAACTAACAAAACGCACGAGAAGTTCCATTTCCAATTCAATTTTTACCATCTCACCATTATCTTTACGTTTCGAAACGACGCGTGCACGCCATCTGTTTAATTGTGATTGCGTTTCGTTTGATGATTATTTAAAATCATTATTTAATGCGATTGCAATTGTGTTATTTTCGTGTCGTATATACATCCGATCTAGAAACGATAGAAATGGGATTAAACAAAGCGTTAGATCGTAATTTCTCTCCGAATTATGCTTGCCTCTCATCAAGTTTCCAGTTATTAATTATGCAGCAGAATTCATGGAGCGAGGAGTGTAATTGAGCTGATTTGAAAAATCGACCGGTTACTAACCAAGATTCGTGTTGTCTTTCCTTTTTCCTCAAATTGTTATTTCTTATTATTTTTTTTTTATTAATTCTCGACGAGCACCACTTCGGAATAGAATGGTTTAAAAAGAGAATTTGTTTAATTTCATCAACAAACGAGTACTCCCTCTGAAAAACAAAAAAGTATCAATAGATATAAATTGATGTTCCAAAAAATATTCTCTCACTCGCAAAATCCGATCTCGAATCCCTCGATCAAAATCCAACAAACAACGACGAAGAATCTCTCCTATCGATCCGTGGACCCTATTCATCCACCCTTTCCTCCTTAAACCACCCTCCCCCCTCCCCCGACACAGGGTTGACTTCGTTAGAGAAAAAGAGCGGGTCCCTCACTCAGCATAATTCCCTCGTAATTATCTAGCCAACCTCCTCCTCTGATCGAAGCGTTCAGACACATTAACAATGAAAAAAAAAAAACCTTTCCTCCCCCTTGCCTTTGACGTACGGCGAGGATCAACAATCACTCTCGAACTTGCTCCAATCCTCCCTCGAATGAAACATTTCCCCCGATGATCGCCGGTGAATCGACGACGATCTTAATGGAGAAAGATACGATATATCGTATGATATAACGTGGGGTGATCGGATGGCAAGAAGGGGGATGAAGAGCATCCACGGATGACTCGTTGGGGGGTTGTGATTATTGTTTTCTATCTCTCGAAAACGCAGGGCGGGATTCGAGTGGTTTCCTTCGCGATGATTATTCCGAATCCAGCGCGTGTGGATCTTCGTTTCGAAAGGAGTCGAGAAGAATAAGACGCCTTTCTTTCTCGACTTGTGTTCTACGCTCCGTTTGGATATATTGAAATACGGTTTAAAATTACTCGTTCAGTTTGGTTCATCTATTAGATTCGAACGAGATGGGTTTTGATCGTATGGCATAATTTATTGGCAGGTTTTGTACAACCCGGTTGAATAGTCGAAAGAGATAGGGAACGATCGATCGAAGGAAGATTCGAAAAATAAAGTTTCGCGAATAATAATAATTTATATGCCGATACAGAAGGTCAACTGGTTTCTTTCCTTTTTTTTCTTTTATTTCAAACTTCGTTTCAAAGAAACTTCCTTAACTTCCTCATGAAAGTAAAAATTATGATCGATTGGATAAACCCTCTTCTCTTGTGAGAGATAAGCACGGTCGTATTATAAAATCGTCTCATAGAGAGGGCGGGAGAGTATTAAAAAGAACTTTTTTAAATATTTATATTCGTAGAGAAATGCGATATTCCATGTTATTTCGAGTTTAACAAGTCCTTTATTGATTAATAAAAAAAATCTACTGCCATCGATCGAAATTTCAATCGTTACCCGATTCTTTCGACAATTTCCAACGATTCATCTTGGAAAATCGATTGTTCCAACAATTTCCAGTTTCACGGATCTATCCGAAGGTTTACAGGTCGATAATTGTCGCGTAAACGCAGCGAACAGCGAGGCGTGGCGATTAATAACGCGAAACCGGCGTGGAAATCTCGGACAGATTGATTCTTCGCGCGGCACGATACGATCGTTCCGGCGCACGCCTTGATAAATGACGTGACAACGAGCCGTGCCCGGGGCCAGTGCTGCCCTTTTTATCTTCTCCCTTTCCCCCCTCCCCCCTCCCCTCCTATTTTGCCCGAGAAAAATATTTCCTTTTTTTTTCTTTCTTTTAACCGACACGGCATGACGAATCGACCGGCCACGCTCCAAGTTCGCCCAGTTAAAAACTTAATGAAATAAACCGCGTCGAATCTTTGTCAGCAACTCGTCGTTCACTCGTTCGTGAGAGAGATTGAATTGATCGAGAATAATTTTTTTTACGATTTATATCTATTAATTTTTAAAACACGATTACTTTTTTTAATTAAACAAAAATTCTTTCTTCCACTTTCAACAAACTTTCCCCCAAAATCGTCCCAACAATTTCGACGATAATTAATTAACCATTTTGTATCCCACGCTATCGATGAGAGCACACACAGAGAGAGAGAGAGAGAGAGAGAGAGGAGGGAAGAAAAGAAAAGAACGCGNGC